ATATCCATCAGCTTATAAAGGACAGTCCTACAAACTGTTTGTTCTAAGCCAAACACCACTGAGACTGAACCAACAACATTCTGAAAGATTTGATTTTGCTGTTGCAAATAACACTTAAATCAGATGTTTCAAAAAAATCTACAGTCTTGGAGATGTGAACCTTAGCCAAAAACATTCATTTCAGTTTTAAAATTGATTCATGTTTTAAACCTCTGTTCAAAATGCCTCCCCATTTGTTTATTCTTTCATGTTTAGGGAATGTTACCCTCAAATAATATTGTGAATTTATAATATTCAGTTCTGCAGAGAGATTACAATGTTTTAGGATTCCTCTGTAAGGACAGTGCAAGCCCCGAGAATCCAAACCCAAATTAATATATTCAGAGAGAGAACCCTTAGAGCACTCAGCCTTGTTTGGGAAGTGGTACAAGAACAACACACAAAGGGCACAGCACACTTCCCAGAGCCCAAACCTTGGAATGGTAACACCATCCAGCACAGCACCTCTCAGAAGATCCAGGTTATAACAGGTTTATCCCAGACAGAATGCCAGGCTTATCCCAGGGATGCCACCATCATGCAAATCCAGGGAAAACCACGCTACTGCCTCTGGAGACAGCGACACCTTCTTGGAACGTGGGGCAATTGTGACACCTTATGGCCGTTCCTGTAATGGCCTTCAACATTTTAAGGGTGAACAGATTGAAAACTAAAAAGTTAATAGTTTGAAATGCTGGTTTGGTCACAGGGTACGAGTGACTCACCCACCACCACAGCTCTGTCTCCAGAAGGGGTTCTCCAGGGCAGGAGATCCCACCAAGACCATTTTGTGCCTGAAGAGCCTCCCCAGGGCTTCTTCCACACTCAGCCACGAGGCTGCTCTGGGGAGTGCCCAGCACAACTGGTCAGCAGTGGACTGTCAACCAAACATTCCAGTCACCCACTGTTACCATAGCAACAGGCTGTCACCTGAATATTCACATAGTAACAAAAACGTGTGGGTACCTGGTACATCCTGGGCTCCTCAGCATAGACTGTGGGAGTTCATTCCAGCCTTTCCTCAAGCTTCCCCATAAGTAAAAAGAGATTATCCATAAATTAACATGTAGAAAGTCACCACAATACTCACTCTTCACTAAATTTCTAACAGGAATCACAGGCTACTGCCCCAAGAACACTATTTATACCCTGCCTTTCCCTCAGGCTGTGAATTTACCCATAATATTATGCAGGTGGCTCCCACCATCAGCCAGAATGCCTCCAGCTGACTTAACCAATTAAGTTAGGTTTTAGCTTATAAAACTCTTCACTGGAAGCTGGGGCAGCTTAGGGAAAGGTGGTATGGCTTGAAGAGGTTACTGTACCTTTTTAGGCTATATTAGAGAAAGCTTCTTGAAAGGAGAAGAAACAGTGTCATGTTGTCTTTGTCAGGTTTTATGTAACAGGTTTGAACTTTTACTCAGTTTCACAGGGTAATTTAGGTTGGAAAAGGTGCTGGAGATCAACAAGTCCAACCCCAAACTACACACCAAAGAGCCACATTTTAACTGTGCGCTTTTTAAATCTCTCCAGGAATGCTCACTCTGGTTCCCTGGGCAACCTGTTCCAGTAAAGAAATTCTTCCTAATATCCAATATAAACCTTCCCTGGCACAACTTTAGTCTGTTTGCTTTTGTCCCTGTTAGCTGGGAGAAGACATGAACCCCCAGCTGACTGCAACCTCCTTTCAGGTAGTTGCAGAGAGGGATAAGGTCCCCCCGAGCCTCTTTTTTCCAGGCTAAACACTCCCCATTTGGGGAAATTCTGTCAGTGGGCTAGAGCCCTAAAATATTCTTTAAGCACAAATGTGAGAATGGGCAGCTGGGGAGATGAAGGTTAAATGAGTGTCCTTGCTGGTGGGGGGTGGTGTATTCTACAAATGCAAAAGAAATACTCAGATGACTACGAGTTACAACTCTACAGCTGGTTTCTGACAGAGAAGGAAGGCTCTGAAACCTGCTTCTTGTTCTGATTTGGATGCAAACAGCAGTTCCTTGGCTGTGCTTCTGTAGGTTCATCATCGCTTAATTTTCTCACTTGAAATACATGGCTAGATTTTTATTTGTGGGGGAAGAACAGTACTTTGTATTAAACCAGGTTTATTTTTTTAATTGTGGCAGATGCAAAGGTACCATAATGACACACGACATTAGTAAAGTACAATGGGCTCTTGGACTGCCCATAAACACCTTGAAGTTAATTATTCACTTGTCATTCATTCAGTTATTCATAAAGCAATTCATGTTCATTAGAACTAGAGTAATTGTTGAGGTATGGCAAAGAAAGTGGCAAAAACTCAAGAAGCTTGAGTTACGCTAAGCCTGATATTTCTAAGGTTATTTAGGATTTTTAAATTAAATACTGTAGATATTTCTCACTTGTGTTTGCTCATAATTCTACCCTCAACTTGTTCTAAATCTAATGCTGGATGTAGGTTAAAACGCGGTTGCATAAATTCCTAGAAACTGGAATGGATGGATTAATATTTTAATTATGTGTTTTATTCATGATAATCCTCATTTCCACTGTTTTTTTCAGATCACAATGAGAGGAAGCAACAGCATGGGAATTAATTTTTCCTTTGAGTTGGAAGATACAATGAATTATATCACAAATGAAATATATTTCACAAGAGATTCAGACATTACAGCCTGGCTGCTCATACAGTGGGATCACAGTGACATTAAGGAGAGTGTGACTGACTTAAGGCAGCAAGTTGTCCCAATAGCTCAAACCAAATGGTCTCATTTCTAGACTGAATTCCACCTGTGTTAGGTTCCCACCACTGTGTGCTACCATGTATTTGCTGATGGATCAAGGAATCATTAGTTATTACAGATCTCATCCAATGTAATCAAGCAGGGATGTTAACCAGTTAACCTCTTACACCTTCCATTGCCTCATGCTTCTTTGTGATTCTGAGCTTAAACATGAAACCTGGAATTGTTCTCTGGTATCCTGCAGACTACATAGATCCCAAACTGAAGAACCAAAACATTCCATCCTTTTTGAGCATACAAGCAGTGACATGTGTGACAAATGGCTGTTATGGTTATTTAGCTAAGCACTGTGAAAATTAGGATATTTTATCGAACTCATTGGATCTTTCGTGCTTCAGATCTGTGAGTGCTGAAAGTCTTGTAGGAACAGCTCACTGTTTGCTTACAGAACAGTCTGGTTTTTACCTCCGGCCCACGAGATAATTTTAAAAACATGCCTTGTTATTAAAATATTTTTGGATGCAGATTGTACCAGAAACTGTCAAACTTGGTGAAAAACAGAAGCTTTACTCAATCTACAAGGTATGAAACTACATCCATCACAGCAAGACTGAAGTACCTTACTCAAAATGAGAAAAGGGTATTTGTGCTATAGTGGCTGAAACAGATGGACCTTAAAAATCTGTCATCAGCAACCAATATTTTGATATTGGAACATTTTTCAGAAATCAAAAGTTGGCAAATCTGGATATGTACCATTACACATCCCACTTGTTTTCTTCCAAAGCATTTTTCTTCTAGTATCCAGGTACCACTCTCAAACAGCAAACATAGGACTAAAGTTTTGTATTTCTTCCTGTTGCAGAAATTCCTGTATCTGTGGGAATGAAAGAGCCATGAAAGGCCATCTCATAGAACCAAAGTGAAAATTACACTTGTGGAATGCCCACAGAACGTGCATCCAAGCCATAGCATGAGAAAGCAGCAGTGCACATCAAGGCTAAGAAATCCCACGGGACTTATGTACCAGATCGTGATCCTCCTTAGGCATTTGGAGTCAATCTGGGCTTGTTTCACCCCTTCTACAGAAAGATTTGTGCCATCCTTGGTGAAACCCAAACCCAGTCTTGGCTTTTTGTGAGGAAATGGAGAGGAGAGATGTAAAGCTCGTCTTCGCTCAGGCTGACAGCCCGTTTCACACCCCCAAACCTGACCCGCCCCTCCCGAAGCACAGCTCCCCTCTGCACACAGCTAGGCTGCTTATTTCCAGGGAATGGCTCCTGGGCACAGTTCCCTGGGCTGCAGTAGCTCATGTTCACACACCAGGGCTCCCTGCACTACCAAATCCCCTCCCGTTATTCCCTGGTGAGAGTGTCAGAGCACCCAGCACACAATCGGAGCTCAGCGCTGTGGCTGCCTCCGAGCCTGTCTGAGGGAAAGACTTAGCCCTCAGAGGGAAAACACACCACAGAATACTGCAAGTTGGAAGGGATCCACAAGAATCGTCAGGGTTGGAAGGGACCTCTGCAGATCACCCTGTCCAACTCCCCCGCCAGGGCACGGCCACCTGGAATCGTGGAATCATAGAATCATGGAATCATAGAATCAGCTGGGTTGGAAGGGACCTCCGAGATCATCAAGTCCAACCCCTGATCCACTACCGCCGTGGTTCTCAGACCATGGCGCTAAGTGCCACATCCAGTCTCATCTTAAACCTCCGGGGACGGAGAATCCACCACTTCCCTGGGCAGGTTTGGAATGTCTCCAAGAGAGGGAGACTCCAGGACCTCTCTAGGCAGCTTGTTCCAGCGCTCTGCAATCCTCAGCGTAAAGTTCTTCCTTGTGTTGAGGTCAAACTTCTTGCGTTTTAATTTACGGCGACAAACATGGATCATGAAGCCCCTGAACAGGACCGTCCCCAGCAATCCCAGCCCGTGCCCGAGGGCGCTGTCCAGACGCCCCCTGAGCTCTGCCAGGCTCGGTGCCGCGCCCGCTGCCCAGGCAGGGGCGGGATATATTGACCGCTTAGATGTGCATAGATCCCGTTTTTACCCCGACACGAGGCTCTGCGGTCCGCGTGACCTATAGGACCCTCCGCCCCCTCACACCGCACCCCCTCTGCCCCCACAGAGCTCCGCCCCGTCTGCCCCGCCCATCGGTGACGTCACGCATCCACGCCCCCTCCGCGAACGTCACTGCGCGCGCGCCTTCCCGTCGTGCCCCGCGGGACCCGTTGCGCCTCCCCGGCGGCGGCGGCGCTGCCCGGCCCGGCCTGGTCCCGGCTCCGAGCCACTCCCGGCCTCTTCCCGAGCCGTTCCCGGCCTCTTCCCGCAGTCCCCAGCGGGAGCCGCCCCGCCCCGCCATGCCCCCCAAGAAGCAGCAGCAGCCGGCGGGGGGCAGCAAGAAGGCGGACCAGAAGAAGAAGGAGAAGATCATCGAGGTGAGGGAGGCCCCGGGGCCGCTCTCCCGCCGCGGCCTCGCGCCGGGCCCGGCCCGGCCCGGCCCTCCCGGCTCCCGGCGGCTTTCCCGGCTGGAGCGGCCCGGGGAATGGTCACAGAGCCACGCGCTCGGCGTTCCGGGGGTGCCGGGGCGGTGCCGCAGCGCTGCCCGGGCTGCTCTGGGTCCAGCGGGGCATTTCCAGGCCGGAGCTGCGTTTGCTCCGGCCGTGATCTGGCAGCGGCCCTCGGCCTTCTTCTCCCCTCTCCCTTTCCCACACCCCTCCCGGTGCCCTGCGTGTTCCTGTATTCCCCCAGTCCGGCTCGCCGAGGTGTGGGTTTGCGTCCTTGCGGGTTGGACCAGGTGCTCTCTAGAGGTTCCTTCCAAGCTTCACAACTCTTGTGATTTCTCGCTCAGTTTAAAACACGGGTGTGGTTTGTTTTGCGGCTTCTTGTTACAATTCGACCCATGTGATCAGATTTTTTTAAAAGGCTACAAGAGGGGTGTCTGTGTGTCTATGTGTGTGGCTGGCTGTGTGTCTTGGTTATTAGGACAGTCACACCTTATGCTAACAACGACAGAATTTATGTTGAGAGCACAAGCAAGGCAGTTATAGAAAATTACATATTTACCTGAATTTATTGGCTTAAAAGACAGCAGCTGCTCAGCTGTTAAGGCAGAACATCCATGTGATGTGAGTGTTCTTTGGCATCTGAGGCTGCAGGATGTTGTTTCTGTGCTCTTTGGAAATAAGAGGTTAGAGCAGTTGGTCCTGCCTTCTCTTGGCTTTGGACTTTCTGAGGTTCCTGCAGAATCCAGCTGCATAAGAAAATTCTGCTTATTGCAAAGACATGCAGCTGAAAGGGGAAAAGCTTGCCTTGATTGTTAACAATAACTTACTGTATAATTCAAATATAGAGGGATTATATCTTCCATATGGCATTTACAGTGAAAATCAAGCATGTGAATGATAGGTTTTCTTTCCCAAATGATTATTTCGACTTCTCAGATTAGCACAAAGTAACAGAAGACCAGCTGGTGTTGATAGAGGATATGTTGTAAGTGAATCAGAGCTGTTTATTCTGTAATTATTTTATCACAGATTTTTGGATTGTTAGGGCTTCCAAAATTATGTTTGAACTGAAGTGTTACCACTAGATGGAAGGAAAAGAACGTTGATATCAAATCAAAGGCACAGGTGGTTTTTAATGCAGGTATTTCAGTAACTGCTGCCTCAGATGCTTGTGTGAAAGTGAGATGTATGGGGGGTTTTTTGTAAGTTGTTTTTACTAGGTTTGGTATGGAAACATCTCGTTATCAGTAAAATTGAAGATCTAGAGGAAGAATTGGTTCAGGCAGTAAACAGAAACTTCTGGCAGTGGGGTTTAGGAAGTAGAAACACCTGTCAGGACTTCATGTAGGGGAAAGACTTAACTACAAATTAGTACAGTTAGAAAATGAAAAGCTTAAAATACTTGAAATAAAGAAGTGGTATGTTACATGTGGTAACAGGCATCTGCATAACATACATCACATTTATATGTGAATACTTGAAGACAGAAGTAATAAGTGATTTCAGGTAGATAGAAGGAAAAAAGACAGCATTTATGGCTAATCAGTCTTCATATTTTCCTCAGATATTACTTGGGTAGTGTCCAAAAATATCTTGTCCTGTTGCCTTGAGAATACTGTGTGTACACACTGACACTGGGACACAGGAGAGCTGATCATAAAAACAAGAGCTCACACAAGACAGCATTTAGGAGGTGTGTCAAAGGTTTATTCTCAAGATATTGTGAGGAATCCACATTTTGTCCATACTATTTCTTGGATTGCTTGTGTTGCTGGAGGAAATGATCTGTGTTTCACTGAAAACTTGAAAGGAGTGGCAAGGGTGGGATTTTTTTATTGTTTTGTTTGGTTTGTTTTTTTAATTCACTATGGCTATGTTTATCTCTTGATTTAGGACAAAACGTTTGGCCTAAAGAATAAAAAAGGTGCAAAGCAGCAGAAGTTTATCAAGGCTGTGACTCACCAGGTGAAGTTTGGTCAGCAAAATCCCCGTCAGGTAAGCATTTATTGTCCAGTGTTTATTTTAATTCTAAGTGGAAACAAGTCTGAATCTATTTGGTGTACTGTTTGGTCCAAGAAACTGAAATTCTGAGCCACTGCCTGCTACTTTGCTCTTCTGTATGATGAAATAAAATGAGGTACAATGGTTAGATTATACTTAATCAGAAAACGTGGATTTGGTGGAAATATTATAATGGAAATGATGCAGGTCTCTTATTCTCTCAGTGCTGGGGAGGCTGGTTGTTAATTATTTACAGAGCTTTCTGTTCTATGAATAAGCCTGTAGAATAATTATATTTTGTCAGCTAAAGTCACGAGGTCACGTTGCATTCCTTGAATAACATAAGGATGAACTAACAGATGTCAGGTACAATTTGAAAAGTAAAGCTGATATTCAGGTCATTAGATCTAGGAATTTCTTGTAGTGGAAAAGATTTCTTGGTGTCACTTGAAAAACACTGGTGATGTTCAAACAGTTCTTCTGAAACTTGTCTGTGAAATCCGTGGATCCGTGGCATATATAGGAATACCAGTGTGTAAATGAGCCAGCCTAAAGTCATTTATTTCTTAAATGCTGGTAGCTATGGACTGATGGATGGCAGAAGCAAATTTTTAAACCTGTTTATATTTCTTACCTTATAAAATAGCTTTCAGTTAGGGCTGTCCTTGAGAAAGAAGGCATTTTAAAGCAGTTTTCCTTGTGTCCTGAAATGAAAATGAAAATGCTGTCAGAGTTTTGGCCTTGGTGTTTGGGGGGTTTTTTTGTTGGTTTGTTGTTGGTTTGTATTTTTAGTTTCTTTGGCTTTTGGGGGTTTTGTTTGGTTTTGTTGTTTTATTTCTTTTTTAAGACAAGCTTCATCTTCATGCCTTTAGAACCCGAGGGTGAAACAAAAGCATTCTGAAGTATTACTTTCTGTAGTTGACATACATGGGTCTGCATGTCATATAGAATAGCATTTGTTAACCTTCAGTATAAAAGCTCACCAAGCTGCTAATTCCCTTCTAAAATTTTTTTGAGAAATTCACAGAAATTCTAAGAACAAAGATGCTTTTTTAACATTACACTGTATTTCAGAAAAAAGTACCCCACATACTCGTACAGTGGTGTTAGTCTCACCAACTCCCCATAAGGGTGAGTGTCAAATAATCACAGAATCACTGAGGGTGGAGAAGACCTCTGAGACTGAGTGCAGACATGACCCAGCACTGCTGTGTTCATCACTAAACCTCATTTCCAAGTGCCATATCCACACATTTTTGAACACTTTCAGGGATGATGACTCCACCACTTCCCTGGGCAGCCTGTTCCAATGCTTGACCACCCTTTCAGTGAAGGAATTTTTCCCAATAACCAAGCTAAACATTCTCTGGTGCAACTTGAGGCCATTTCCTCTTATCCTGTCACTTGTTACCTTGGAAAAGAGACTGCCCCCCACCTTGCTACAACCTCCTTTCATATCTAATATAACAATGTTTCTCCCATATCCTCTTCCATCTGGTTTCAACCCACTCTGGCAGGGATACAGGCCTTCTCTGGCTTATCCAAAAAGGGTGAGGCAGAGTCAAGTTTTTTTCTTTATACATAAACTTTTTCTTTCTTGGGTGAGCTTGTTTTCCAGTCCTTGGCCCCCAGGGCCTATAGAACGTGCTGGATTATAGACCACTTGAGACTGTGGGATTGATGTAGATTGCAATGGTGTTTTAAAAGCAGTTCCTAAATTCTGTGGAGAGCTTTCCTGGGACTGCTGCTGGTCTACAGGAAGAGAAAGAGCAAAGCAGCGTGGAGGGGGCTAAAAGGAAAAGGCTTTTTGCACAGTTCTGGAAGGGGCTGCCCTGAGTAGTTGCACTGCAAAAGAACAATGAATCTCTGTCTCTCAGTGACTTTCCTATCTTAAAGGTGGAGTAGAGGTCACTGTGGTGACCTCTAAAGGTATCTGCCAGCATCCCACTGCTCTGACAGATTTGCAGTCCCTCCTGTGTGACAGGTCAGTGGACACAAGGGCAGCAATTCTGAGCCTTCCAGGCATCACAGGTTCTTTCCTTTCTCCCCTCAAAAACTAATTGGCTGTTTTAATGTGCAGTTCTTGTGAAGTCAGTCCTGGCATTCTAATTTTACATTTGTAACTTTGAATTTGGGGTTGTTATAGGCTGCTCAAACAGAAAGTGAGAAGAAATTAAAAAAAGAAGACAAGAAGAAGGAATTACAAGAATTAAATGAGCTCTTCAAGCCTGTGGTTGCTGCACAGAAAATTAGCAAAGGTATGACTAACTGATTTCTCTGCATTTATATTCTCTTATTCATGTAGCTACTTGAGGTAGAATAAACCTTTGAAAACACCAGCTGATATTTTAATAAAGTAAATGTGACTGTTTCCTTCCCCATCTAGTGTACCAAGGAGTTTGTCAGTAATTATTTGACTTTTTTTTGGAAGTTATCTGGGGTCATTAGATCATTAGAATATCAAAAGCTACACTGATATTGACTGGGAAGCTGAAGATACTTTGATGTTTCTGGTTCATCAGTTGGATGTTTCTGGATGTGTAGCATGATTTTTGTGTGTGTGATGGTATTTAAAGCAGCCTGTCTCCTCAGGGAAGTGTGAGCATCCAGGTATTGCAAGGAATATGAGATGGTAACTTGTTTTCACAGAAAACTGCTACTCAAATCAGAACAGTAAAAAATTTCCAGTTCTTTCCGTCTGACCTCACAATTAGCAGTGGTGCTTGGTTTTGGAAGCGTGGTTTGTCTTGAGCTTGGTTATTGAACAAACTCAGTTTTGTGATGAAATCTTAAGTTTTTGTTATAACAATTCTGTGTTTAACACTTGGAGGAAAACTCTACAATTGGCTGCCATGTGTGAGGAAAAAACGTAATACCTGTTGGAGTGAACTAAATGTTTTCAACTCTATTGTTTTCTGGAACACACAAAATCACGTGCAGTACTTTTTGACAAAAGAAGTGTGATTTCCATGCATGTTTTTAAGACAAACCTGATACTTGCTCCTTGTGATCAGCAACAAAGGACAGTTTCCTGTTTATGATCTGCAGTGATCAGCTTTCTCTAAATAAAATAGCTTTTGACTTCAAGTGATTTCAGAAGACTAATGTTGCCTAGATTTTTTTAGATTACATTTTAAACAGGTGTTGCTGTACCTGCTTTTGTCACTGGTGAGTCTCACCAGGAGTGAAAGCAGCAAGGGGAAAAACTAGAGCTTAAAATCTTATATGTGTATTTGCTGAATATTGCAAGTCAAGTATTTCTCATTTGATCATGTCTCATAAATACATTTCTCTCTGCTTTCATTGCTTTTCCTAATGACCTCCTAATGGTCAAATAATTCTTTAGTGCCATGGCTTTTACTTAACCTGTAGTTAGATTGATTGAATTGTTTGTTCTATTATAGAAGTTGTTTACTTTGGGGACTATGAACCCATCTTATTTCTGTTACTGAAGAAAGTGGTCTGAATGGGCACAGGTTAAATTGTTATAATTTTTTCTAGTGATTTCTTGATCTGTTGGGGAAGGGGTAACATTCAGAAGATGCTTTACTGTGTATTAGAGACAAGAATAGGGAAGAAGTTGCACAGTGATCTCTTATGTGTTGTATTATATAAATAAATAATTTGCTCAGGCACACTGCTGTCCATATTGCTTTAAATAGTCAAGTGCCAGCTTTGATACTTAATGCAAATATCATGCAATAAAAGGAAGTATGGCATGTTATTTTAAGAAAGCATATATATTCACGTTATTTTAAAAAGGCATTTTCATTCTCTATAAATCCTAGGTATTTTTCTCAGAATTTCTAATGTATAGATTTTGCTGAAAAATAATGTTAAAATGTAAAAACTTTCTTCACTCAGGTGCTGACCCCAAATCTGTAGTTTGTGCTTTCTTCAAGCAAGGACAGTGCACTAAAGGAGACAAGTGCAAGTTTTCTCATGATTTGTCTTTGGAAAGGAAGTGTGAAAAACGGAGTGTCTACATTGATGCCAGAGATGAAGACCTTGAAAAAGGTAAAATACTTTTAGAAAGTTTGATCCTCAAGTTATATGATCTGACCTTCTGGATGTCGCTCTCCAACCTTACCTTTTTTTCAGTTGTCATTTTTTTTTTTTTATTTCTTTTCCCTTGTTCATGCTGAGTACTGTACAGATGGAATGACACATTATTTAGTCTTTAACTGAAACACATTCTATGCATTTCAAAACTCAGGCTTTTCAGGAAATTGTCTTGTGAGTGGCATTGGGGAATTTGAAAACTTTAAGAGCCTACATTTATTTTCCATTGTATAAGCTAGCTAAAATAGAAGAATTGCATACTTTATAAAACTGTTACTAGGCAGAAAAGCAACTTGACAGCAGTGTTCAGTACTTGGAATTCTTGTGCAACCATCTGTTTTCTTTTTCTAGATACAATGGACAACTGGGATGAGAAGAAGCTGGAAGAAGTGGTGAACAAGAAGCATGGTGAGGCGGAAAAGAAAAAACCCAAAACTCAAATAGTAGGTGGTCTGTCTTTCTTTTCTTTTTTTTTTTTTTTTTTTTTTTTTTGTAATTGAGCTGTAGTAGAGGAAATTAAGTGCAGACTGGTATTAGATATGTTAATCTAAAGATTTTGAATGGAATCTCATAGCTATGTTCTGAGGACTGGGCTGATAGTATCTCTAATAATATTTGTTTTTAAAAAAGGCAGAAAGCCCACAACCCCAAGGCTCTTTTCAGTCATTGTGTGTTCTCATGTAAGTTACAAATGGATAGTAGGTAAAGTGCTTTCAAAATAGAAATGCTAAAGGACTCAGTAATAATCTAAGGCAACCTACTTGGTTAGAAGATTCACATATTGTAATTAATTAAGTCTATCATCTCATTGCAGTGACTGCCATATATATTGGCTTATTTTTGTACTGGGTGACATACAAGCATTAGAAGTTTTAAAATTTTCTCCTTTGTGTTGGAATTTGCTGATTGAGTCATTTGTAATTCCTGGGCTCTAAGTTCAACAATATTCTTCAATTTTGCAGTAAATGGCATAATGTGTTAATCCTTTTCTTGTTCTTCTTCGTTTACTTTTTTAATAGCAACGCATGTCACACGTTCCTTCTGTTTTGAGCACAGCTGACTTCTTGAATTACTCATCTTCTGGGGTGTAAAATGCTGGGGATGAAAAGAGAAAACACAGGGTTAATCACCATTGTTTTATACAGGTCTGCAAATATTTCCTTGATGCTATTGAAAACAACAAATACGGGTGGTTTTGGGTCTGTCCAGGAGGAGGAGACAACTGTATGTATCGCCATGCTCTGCCTCCGGGCTTTGTATTAAAGAAAGACAAAAAGAAGGAGGAAAAGCAAGATGAAATTTCCTTAGAAGACCTAATAGAAAAAGAGGTAAAGTTGTCAGACAGATACCTTTTGGTGGTAGTTGTTTTTACTGTCATTCTACTCGGAAGAGACAGATGTAAAGAACCTGCTAATTTCTAATTAAAAACTGTAAGATGTTGTTACAACTGTAAGAGCCAGGGGGAAGATGTGTACTATTGGTTCATGGCTTTGTTTAGAAAGCATTACCTAGTGAAGAGAACTAACTATAGCAGCATATGCAGCTGTTGCTTATGCTTTTTTAGGAGCCTTCTATTTCTTACTGCTATTTCTCATTTATCTATTACAACAAAGGCTTCTGGGGCCTTTCTCACCCCCAGCTCAGTCTCCTTAGTTCTGCCATAACTCTCTAATGAGGAAGCAACACCAAGAGAACAAGGCCTTCTGAAGGTGTTGCTGCTCTGCTTATTTCTGTCCCCATTGCTTGGCAGTGTCATTGTGACAAGAACTGAGCTATTATTGTTACTTTCTTTCCCCCTTCACTTTCCCTGTTAACTTCCAGGTCAACTCATCTCACTAACTGGAAAATCACATGTTGAGTCAAACAGTAAGATGATGGTGCAGGTTTGACAGTGCAAAGAGTCAAGAAAGAATTGGAAAGAAATGCTTGCTATTGGTTCCTGGGAAAGTGTAATTAAATTTTAATTTGTTAGAGCCTTTGGAAAGAGTTTCTAGCATTAATCAGCCTCTTTCCTTGTGACAGCGTGCTGCCTTAGGACCAAATGTTACCAAAATTACTCTAGAGTGTTTTATTGCATGGAAGAGAAGAAAAAGACAAGAAAAAATTGATAAGGCTGAGCAAGATATGGAGAGGAGGAAAGCAGATTTTAAAGCTGGCAAAGCATTGGTGGTAAGTTCTACAGTCCATGTCTTAATGTAAGGAGAGGGAGTAAATACAGTTTCCTAATAAGGTAGCTGGCCTGGAATTGCTTGGCTTTTTTTGGTGTCCTTTTATTTTCCTTCCTTTTTTGTGGTTTGGGGTATTTTTAAGCAGTATAAATTCCTTGAAGTAATAACTGAAGATTTCTTCTCCTGTGAACAGATTAGTGGACGTGAAGTATTTGAGTTCCGGCCAGAGCTGGTTGATGCAGACGATGAAGAAGCAGATGACACCCATTATGTTCAAGGAGCAGGAGATGATGATGAGGTAAAGAACAGGATTAAATCAAGTAACGTTTCAGTTGCATTCAAATTTGAAAGCTTTTCATTTGAGAACTCTTATTACAGGGCAGTTAATAAGCTTGGTTCTTAATTTAATACTGCCACAGAGTAGATTTGATCAGAATGTTTGTGTCGAAGGTGGGAAAGGTCGTTGGCAATTGTGCAGAAGTGAGGACTTCTGTGGAAAAGCAGTTCCTGCAGAGCACCCTGGTGTATTTTTCAGATGGAAGACCCTGTGTGCATAAATGATGTGGATTTGAACCTGTATGTCCCCAAGGCAGTGGAGGAGACTGGTATTACAGTGGCTAGTCCTGAGCGATTCAGCACGTACACTTCAGTAGAAAAAGATGGTAAGTTCTTCACTGAGGCATCACTAACAGAGCATTGTTAGCTGGGAGATTGCCCAAGGTAATGGCAGTTTGACTCCCCCACCCTTTTTAAACCAATAATTCAGTTCTGTTAGTGGTACATGTAGTTACTAAAGCAAAGGCTTATAGTAAATGCTTTGTACTTATCTTCTTTATGGCCACTTCTAGTACGTCTCTAAGGGGATTGTTATAAGTTCACTTTTTTTTTTTTTGGATTTTTGTAAACCATAGAATGAACAATATAAGAAAGATCCCAGCTTTTATTTGTTTGGGTTTTTTTTTTTCTATTTAGCTTGTAACTTCTTAGAGCAAAGTCCTGGTCTTGGTGCACTTGTGGAATGCATGCCCCGATCTTTAAGAGCAAGAATCTTTCAAGTGCAGACATTGGGTAGGAGCAGCTCATTGTTTGAAAATAGCAGTTTGAGGAGATGGGAGTTGGAGTTTGTTTGTTTGTTTGTTTTTTTTAACCTGTTTTCATAACTGGTTATCCAGACCTGCATGTTAATCAGGTACATGCAATTTAACCAATATAAGTCTACATGAATTTCAAATAAAGTAACTTCTACACAGTCTCAAAACTTGAAAGCAGGTTCAGTAGGATTGTGAGTTCGAATTGGTGATTAGGAAACTTGTGACACTGAAATCCCTAAGAATTATGTTTATTTTCAGATAATAAATTAAGTGAAGCTTCTGGTGGTGATATAAACAGCAGCGAGCAAAATGATTTAGAGGAAGATAATGATGGAGATGGGGAATTGGAAAATGGAGTAATTGATGCTGTTCCAGTTGATGAAAATCTGTTTACTGGAGAGGACTTGGATGAACTAGAAGAAGAACTAAACACTCTTGATTTAGAAGAATGAACTAAAAAGCTCAAGTGAGGAATTAAATCTATGTGACAAAGTGAAAACTGACTACATTTTTTCTCCTTTTTGAATAGAATTCTTAAACAAGATGTTTTTGGTTATGCAGCTGAATATGATGGGCACGTGGTATCCCAGGAATGTTTTCCTTCAATCTCATCTACTCCAGTCTTGACTATGCTCACAGTAAAACTTTCAGAGTAGGTCAGAATTACTCGACAGCTGAATTTGCAGACAGTGAGATTAGAACTTTCAACTAAAAGTAAGAAGTGTAACTGCTTTGCCAGTATGCAAGTGGGCAATTTGACACCAGGTACAGTATAAAAATCCAAGTATTCATTCTTCACAGAAATTGCATTTTTATTAGTGATTGGTGTTGATTTAGAAACTGCCTGAAGTGGTTTTTAGGCAGGACACTCTAATGGAGCTGATGCAGATTATGCTTCTTTAAGTGGTGATTAGCTTTACTTGATCAGCTGGATACTGAAGATTGTCAACTGATAGATCATACAATACAATGTGGTGCCCTCTGTTTAAAATATTTTAAACTTTCTCACCACCTTTTGCCAATAAATCTGTAAATAAAAACTATCAACTTTAAAATACCTGTGTTGATTTTTCTCTGCTGAGTTAGGATATCAAACCAAACCGTTAAGAACTGGATTTTCTAATAGAGTGGTAAATGTTTTTCTCTGCAGTCTTGATACAGAAGTGATGATGTTGGCTTCAGTTAAATTTGGACTACCTGTAATTACAATTTTTTTGCTTACACTTGATGCAGTGTAAAATTCAGCAGCCAGCTTTTCTCCCTTCCTGTTCTTCCTTCCTGCCCACCCGTGTACTGATGTGATACCTGCTGTGCATCACTCCCTGCCATTCCAGCCTCGTCCTTTCCCCACTGTCTTTTGTAGACTGGTGAAGACTCCAGGGATGTTGAGGTGCAGACAATGCCTGGCTTGCCTTTGGAGCGCTGGAAATAGCAGGAGGTTGTGCAGGGCTGAGTTACCTGAGGGCAGAGCAGTGCTGTCAGGCTGCCATCCACTCAGTGTGTCCTTTCCCAAAGGATTGAGGCCCTGCCATAAAGGTTTCTCAGTGGTGGTGCTTTCACAGGCTGTGTCTCCTTGCCATAATACCAGTAATATCTGCAACAATATTGCTGTACTGAAGATACCATTGATATCAATTTTTCTAAAGCCTTTTAAGTGCTACTTAAAGACCATTAAGAGTCGAGGTGTTGTTAGTGAGCTCTCCCGAACTGCTCTTGGGTGGGAATATTGGCTTCATAATGGTTATTTCTGGCACTGCTGAATTGACTCTTGTACCCTGAATGCTATTTCTAAATTAGCTGACTTAGACTTTTTTTTGCCCTTTTTGGGATCTTTGTGGAATTCGTTTTCTCCTGTAGGAACAAGAAGCAGTACTTGGGAGAAAGAGGCCTGCAGAACTTGACTTCTAAATGTAAGTGTTTAAGGAAAAGCTAAATATCGGATGGAACTATTTATTTATGCAGATTTTCCTCCCCGTGGCCATAAATAAACAGTGTTGATGGATTGTTGTATTATACTGGCCAGCAATAAGATACCTGGCTATTGGGACACTTAAGAATGCAATTCATTTGAATGTATGTTGCATAATTTTTCAAAGTTGTATATTTTAAATGGGAATAAAAGTAATTTAATCATTATCAAGGATGAGAATGCCTTTCTATATGTTGTGACTTAAAGGCTGGTTTTTTGCATATAAATACTCATTTCTTTAGTACTGATCTGCTTGACAAGTATAAATAGCTTAAGCCTTTGCCAAAATTGTGTGTTTGTTACTTAAAATTTGTATTTTACAGTGGAGGAATGACAGGATGATTCATACTAATTTCAGCTAATAAAACACAGATGAGCAGAAAGAGAGTGTCCTTTTGGGTCTAAAGGGCTTGGTTGTGGTGCACAACTCCTTTTGTGCAGGTGTTGGTTAAGCACTAGGACAGTCACCTTGCTTAGTCCTGAAATACATTGAATATCCATGAGTTAGTTGAAGAAAACCTGATTTTCCTAGGCAGGAGTTGTTGACATATGGCTTCATGTGGGCAGGAAACAATAGTTCTCTGTTCCTGTTTGGTTTTTACCGTCTTTCCTCTCAGCTTACTCTGGCTGAGCTTGTTCTGGCCCCTTGGCTTGGTTGCTCTGCCTAGATTTCCACCTGTGAAAGCAATGACTGCTTTTAGAGAGTTCCTTGTTAGTGCTTATTCAGACAGACTCCTGAAGGTGAGGTGCAATGTGTTGCTACATGTTCCTTCTGCTCACAGATAGGCTTGAATATAACATGCTAAAGATCCTGAATTTTCAGAGTTAAAGAAGCCCAGATTTGCAGCTGACGGGGAGTTTCAGACAATAAACGTCAATTTTCACGTCAACGTAAAAATGAATGCCAAGGCCTTGCTTGGGGTAGATGAACTATTAATGTTTTGGAAAGGAACACTGTGATAGGAGGGAGTTTACCTGGGTATGACATCACTAAGTTGTTCCTATTGATGCAAACTTCACCAAATTAGTCTGATATCAAGTGAACGAGTCACTTCTGGAAAAACGAGATATAATCTGAATCCTAAAATAATAGTGTTTTCATTTCAGTGACTGTCCGGTTATTATGGGTCAAAAATAGAGTATTTCCTTGTTCCAGGAGCAGGAAGGCTCAGTTCAGGACACACTCTGGGTTCAGGTCAGGCTGTAAAGCACCATAAGTTGGGTAAGTTTGTAGCCCTTGCAGCCTGGGCCCTGTTTGTGTCATCTTGGTGTTCTCCTACCTTAGGTGAGCACTCCATGAGCAATGTGATGGAGCTGTGGTTTGAACATCTCCTGAGGGAACGCACTGGTGTAGCACTGCCTTCACAGCACCTTTGGCACTGGGCACCTGTGGGGACAAAAAACAATTTAAAAAAATGCTGCAGTAAAGCCATGCCTTTGCTTCCTGGTGTTTGCTGTTGTGGGGGTGGAGTATTTGTTGACTTTCAACTTGAGTGTATGTTAAAATCCCATTTCAGTCATGCACACAAACTGCTTGCCCTGCTGTAACTGGCCAGCTTTAAATTCAGTCAAGTTTGGGGGGTTTTTTGAGACCTGTATGATTGAATTTTATGCTTGTCACTGCTTTGTTATTCAGAGCTCCCTGCTTTTTTTTATTTTATAATAAACACTGTGCACAAAGGGCTGGAAAAAATTTGGTTAAAAATTAAAGATAAAAACTGACCTTAAATATTACATTATCTATGAGTTGTTTGTAATAGAAATGTTACTGGTTTTTTAGTGGACAATACTCCCCAGCTGCTTTTTATCAAGGGGAGCTTTTACTATTGATAAACTTTGGACCAAGCAGTGGTACTCTTCTTGGCAATCCGGTATTGTCATAATAGCTTGTGCTTGTTTGGTGTGTTGATTACAGAAAGAATGTACACATACAAACTAGTATGTTTATTCATCTTTCCTTTCACAGTTCTTTAGTCAGATGTGGAATAATAAACCCCTACATCTCAGAGATTCTGAATGCTGAGTTCTAATTCTTTTGCAATGCTAATGCTCCTTTTTAAAAACTACCTGAATGTAGTAAGTAATGCAGGCTTAAATATTTTGTAAGCTTATATATCTTGCAGATAGCCTACTCGGAAGTTTTACAAACAGTGTTTGTTATTCCTGTTCCCTGTGCTGCTTTGTAATAACTTACTGAAACTGCAGAGTGATCAAACAACTAAACTAAAAGATTAAGTCTTTGTTTTCCTCACAGTGAAATTATTGCAGCCCTAAGCTGAGAGGAAGGAATTGCTCTCATATGCAGATATCCCCATATATATTCACCTGAAGTGTCTCAGGAGAAATTCCCTGAATAACATGAATAAGAATTGGAAATACAAGATCTGGGAAGGCCAGAGGAACTGCCCAAAAAACCTGTGATCGCAGCTGCACTGGATCAGCCCAAGAGCCTGTTTATCAAACTCCAAAAAGCAGAGCCATGGCGAGGGAGGAGGTAAGAAAAGCACAAGCCCCTGCACTGCTCAGGAGTGCTTGTCATATGGAGCTTCCAACAGTTCTTAATCTGTAAGATTTCCTCTTCTAGGTGTTACCCTGTGGTGGCTTTCTCTTCTGAGTGTCTTCCCTCTTTCTCCTTTGAATCCTTGTACGTTTTTATCATCTTTTGGAAACTTGAGGGTTCCACAGCTCTACTGCATTTTGTTTTGAACATGACTCCTATTGCTGTTAGATCTCAAGGGAAAAACACTTGAGAAAGTCATATCCTATGCCTTTGGCTTGATGCCAGCTAGAGAAAGTGGCTATAAAAAGAGGAGTTAATGTCTTTCAGTTGTGAAGAACAGAGTCTCTTGATGTATTTCAGTGCTAGAAACAGGGGGGGTTTTTCCAAAATTAAAAGCTTTCTCTCTAAACATGCTTCATTTTTCTGCTACTAATGGGCAAAATAAAGGAAATGCTTCATGAATGAAGTATTTGAATGGAGTCTTTGCTTCTGGTTGGGTACCAGGGGTGTTTTATGTAGCTGTGACCACCTAAAGTGCTTTTGCAGTGATATCTGCAAATCACCCTTCTCTTTTTTTCTCTCACACTAGTATTAGAGGTTCAGAAGAGATCTTGGCTTAGCCTGTCACACTTAGTTCTTTCCTTTCAATAGATGCTCTGTCTCTTTACAGAGAGCAGCTGTTGCTGGTGTTAGCAATAAGGCCAGGATGTTTTATTCATTTATGATGTTACAGCCCTAATATGTGACCACAATAGGCTCCTTCATAGCACATTATTGAAATGAATGCCAAAAATAATCAGTTCTTTCAATCATAAAACAGCAACAGCATCTCATTTGTGTTTAGGGAAAGAGACCTCAGAGATAATCTCATTATCCTACATTTTTGATTTGAAAATGCTTATGGAGTCTTGTAATACATTTGGACATAAATTTGAGCAGGGCTGAATTAATACTGAAGAGATGTTCCTGAAGTTACCCAATCAGACTTTAAAAGCACAGTGCAGTCCTAAATTAAAGGAAGATGAAATGGAAAAGAAAGCATCACGGCTTTCCTTTATTTCTTGAAGGAAAGAAGAGGAAGCAATCCTGAAGGGAAGATAGAGAGAATTACTATAAAGCTTGCCAAGTCTAAACAATATTCATTGGACAGTCAGCCATTAGGGAAGTGTGTTCTACAGATGCTGCATCCTTGGACCTGTGCTGGAATGAAACTGTGGGTGTAGCACATCTCTTGTAGCTGTAGAAATTCAGTTTACACCTTACATTTCTCAAGCCTCTAATGCATTTTGACAGGCTTGCTACTCTAGGGGAACTTTTGTCCTCTTCACATCTCACCTCCATTCCTGTTTTGTTCCTTGGTTTACCTTCTTGTGCTCTTAATATGGTGTACAAAGACTGGATTAAAGACATCCCACGACTTTGGTCTCTGCACAGTAACACAAATCCATTGCAACTCTCATTCACTGTTTTCTACCAATCTTGGTGTCAAGTAGTTCAGCTGTCTGCTTTGGGAGCAGTGGACTACTTCAGAAAGAGATTAATTGACCTCCACTATAAAAATTCCACAGCTACAACTTCAGGCCTCCTTAGAATCAGCCAAGTTTCTGGGCAAGAAACCTTTTTAGTCTTCGCTCTCCATCACTTCCCCCTGCTGTCTTCTCCCTGTGCCAAGGATAAACACTGCAGAAGGGGGGCTCTTCTGACTGACCTCCCTAATCCATCCCAGCTCTCCTGGCAGTGGCTGTGTAATCCAGCTGCTGCCTTCCCCCTCTGGGCTCTCTGCACAGAGCAGGGCACAGTCTCACCCAGCGCTCCAGGGCTTTGGTTATCAAAGGGAGAGAAGGAGGATTAGGGAAGTGGGACAGAATGAATAGAGCAAAGCTCTAGTTCCTCAAATGTCTGGCAGACTAAAGTCAGAATAAGAGGGGACTTATGAACTGTGAGGGAGTAATAGAAGTTTAACTGCTGTTGTCTCATCTTGGTGAACTGTTTCCTTGAATAAGCTTCCAGGAGGTGTCAGAGCTGCACTTTGTGGTGGTGCCACCAGCCCTACACCACGAGCTCTTCAGTTCTTGTCAACACAAAAAGACTATTCTGTAAGCAGTGGTTCCAAATACTGTGTCCCACACAGTGCCTTCCACACACAAATACCGAGCTGCAGTTCTGCACTCTTGTTATACAGGAATAATTGCCCATTCTTTATGTGTTTGGGGGGAGCAGGGAGAGGCAGAATGAGGAATCTTCCCCCAAGACAGCAAGAAGGAGGAAGCTTTTAAATGTGCTCTTTATTCAGGGCACGGAAGTGTCTGCAGTTTTCCACTTCTGATAGCTGTTGTCAGCATTAACTGGCAGACTTCAGTCTGATAGCTGCAAAAATAGTTCTTTCACCGGCAGCACCCAACTGGGAATAGATTGGAGTGACCTCCTGGCCACTGCAGGCTGATGGCCTAGAAGCAAATGGTAAAAACTTTGGGAACAAAACAGATCCACAGCAAACCCCCTCACCCCTCTGGGCAAACCCTCTGTTAGAATGGTTAAAGATCTGATTCTGTATTGGTCAATGTTCTTTAGCTTTATTCCTTGAGAGAAACACTTTTCATTTAACTTGGCAGGCATAGTCACCAGTTCTTGGTCACCATGCCTTGGTTTAGTATTTATGTCAGACAG